CGTGGTGGGGATATAAACACAAAGTACAGAATTACCTTCTGCAAAAAGGGAGCAAAATAAGAATGCACAGTTGCCCTTGCTTATGTTTTAGAAAGAAAATCTGAAAGGATGCATAGGAAACTAAAAATGGTTACTGGAGGGTGGGGGGGTGGCAAGTGGGAACTCTGTGGAAGGAGGGAGATGGGAGAGAGAGCCTTTTCATTGTTTATCTTTTTTTACATTTTCTATTTTGAACTATGTGAATGTCAAACAGGGAGGGAAGGAGGCAGGGCACAACCTTTAAAAGAATGACATAGTGGATGAGGACAAAAACTTGTTAGAACCAACAGCTCCAAGATGCTGGAAGATCTGACTTTCAGTGGACTTTGAGCCTTATTATGCACTCCAGTACTGTTGCCTGGAAAATCCCATGGACAGAAGAGCCTGGTAGGCTATAGTCCATGGGGTCACAAAGAGTCAGACACGACTGAGCGACTTCACTTCACTTTCTTCACTCACTTCATACTTTATCACTGGAGGAGAAAATGGCAACCCACTCCAGTATTCTGGCCTGGAGAATCCCATGGACAGAGGGCCTGGCAGGCCATGGTCCATGGAGTCGCAGAGAGTCGGACACGATGCAGGCACTTATTGTAATATATTAGCATAAGCTGAATGGCGTACCCACTGGTGCCATGACAGTTCCCAGGCTAACCACAAAAGGCCCAAAAATGGGCAGTGGCCCAGATTCCTGGAAGTCTCTGCCCCTTCCCCAAAATAGTTAGAATAATTCTCCTACTCATTAGCCTATGAAATTACCCAGACAACAAAAACTAAGCACCTCATATTTGGGGGCTTCTCACCTTCTGAGATGGCCCACACTGTCTGTGCAGTGTGTTTCTCCCATAGCTGCTGTGACTTTCCAAGATGACCCCTGCCCTGGGGCCACTTTTGCCTTTGGAGACAGATCACATTCTGTCTATGGAATGTGTATCTTGCTAAATAAATCCAGCATTTTACCTATCACTTTTTCTCTTGCCCAATTGTTTCTGCGATAAACTTCATTAAGTCCTGACACCAGGGGTTTGATCTCAATAAAAGACAGTGGGTTCAAGTCCCAGTCTGAGTCTTGGCTGAGTCTGAGTCCTGACCCATGGGTTCAAGTCTCAACTGGAATTGTGAAGTTTCAGCTTAACTATCTATTCAACAGTTTTAAAATTTGATGCATATATTTGAAGATGCTCTAAAATTTGTTTTTCTGGAAGAATATACATTGTTGGTGGCTGACTTTCCACTTCCTGGGCACGTGAGGGTAGTGGTGGGGGAATGGACTTTTATCATTTGATGAACTGCTGGACCATTGGGTCATTTGCCGTGTATGCATACAACTTCCCAAAGACAGCTAATTATTAATGTTGATGTATTTCTGAAAACATAAACAAAAGCATTTGAGTGAGTTCCTTGGGGAAGTGGGGGGTTGGAGTCAGAGTGTCAGAGAGGGGGCTTTCATTCTGTTCCCCCTTTTGTCTGTGACAAGGCCCTACCCCTGCCCTGCTATGCGAGCCCAGGAAAGACCCTCACCTCCCTATCCCAGGTTCTTCTAGGAGTGCAGGGAGGGGCCAAATCAGGGAGTCCAGCTGGATCTGAATGCTGTGATTTCAACTGGAAAAGAAGCAAAGGAAAAAGAAGGGATCAAAGCAAAGGAAGAAGTGTGGTGCTGGTGATGATGGTGGTGGCTAATACCCACCATCCGGACACTCACGAACTCGTCTAATCTCACTAGAAGCAGAAGGCCTCCACCTTAGAGATTTGGAGAACCTGGAGCTCAGGGAAGGGAAGTGAGTTGTCTAAGGTCATTTGGCAGCCAGGTTGGGCCTTGGCTTTAATTGATGGAGCTCTTGGCTAGAAAAGTCAACCCTAAGGGCAATTCTGGTTCTACGAGACCCAGGGGTTCAGTTTACAAGGATTAATCTAATGAGACGTTCTGGAGGCCGTGGCGGCTACAGTCTGATTTTGCTTGCATCCCACTCCAAAGTCACGCTTTTGGCTCCTGGGCTCGGGAACTCCTGGGGGATGGGCACCTAGGCGAGAATGTGGGTGAAGCTGGGCATGCCGCAGTCCCGGGTGTGACCACCAGGTGGCGCCGCTGCCGCACCCAGCCCTGCCCCCAGCAGCCCCAGAAAAACAGAAAAGACAAATTAAAAATTCCTTGGCCTGGAAGCGGAAAGTCAGTTGGAGATTCCGGGAGCCTTCTGGCAAATCCAGGAGGTTTGACCTTCTGTTGTAAGCAAAGCCTAGGGGCGTCCATGACAGGCAAAGGGCAGGAGGAAGAGAACATTTTTTAAACCATATGGAGGAAGGAGGTAGAAGGAGGAAAGAATTCTCTCCCAGACACTGGGATTTCAGCAGCCACCTCTGCCCAGCCACTGTCTGAGTAAGCCTAGGTCTGAGTGCAGAGGAATCACCTGGGGGCTTTTTTTTTTTTGAAAGAAGGCTAGAGTGGCTATATATTTTTAAAATTAATTTATTTATTATTTTTGGCTGCACTGGGTCTTTGTAAGCAGGCTTTCTCTAGTTGCGGCGAGCAGGGGCTGCTCTATAGTTGTGGTGCCCAGGCTTCCCATTGTGGTGGCTTCTCCTGTTGCAGAACTTGGGCTTTAGGTTGTGGGCTTCAGTGGTTGTGGTGCACAAGCTTAGTTGCATCCTGGCTTCTGGACCACTGTGGAACCTGTGTCACCTGAAGGCAGACCACCAGGGAAGCCCCTGGGGGTGTGTTTTTAAATGCAGATCCTTGGGCCCACTGGGGATCTGCATTTTCACCAGGACTCCTGTGGTTTCTGATCCCTGCTAAGGTTGGAAGTACCAACAGGGCAACACTTCCTTTCCCAGGTCAGAAAATGGGGGTCCAGAGAGGGGAGGTCACTGCTCAAGGTCACAGCCTTCCCCTGTGAGGATGGTGTTTGCACAAACTCAAGCATGAAGCACAGTTCTTTCATGCAAAATTCAGATTCAGTCCGGGGTGGTTCTAGAGGGGGCTGCTCCCAATCAGCCCCTCTCTCCTGGCCTTCTGGGCTTTAGTTTGGGCTGCCTCTCTCCCCACGTCTCTCCACTTGCTATTTTAAAATTCATAATGAGTTCTTGCCAGAGAGGCAGCGGCGCAGACTTTGAAATCCAGGCCCAGAGCCCTGACTCCCAGCATGCTGGCTGGGTGCCATCCTGGCTGAGTTCCCCAAGCCCTCTGGGGAGCTTCTGGGAAGTTTAGGGTCCAGACGCCCACCCATACCTCACCCACCCACACTTCCAGCAAGCTTCAGACTTCTTTCCAGAACTGACTCAGCCAATTCTTCTCGCATCCTGGGAGTGACTGGCCCTAATTCTGACCCAAATTCTGAATTCCAGCCTTTAGCTAGCACTTGGTCCATGACAGGCTAGAGGCCAACCAGCAGCTGGCCAGGGGCATCAGAGAGAGCGTGGGCTGTGGTGTCTGGTTCGAATCCTGGCTATGCTGTGTGACCTTGGGCAAGCTGCCTGCCCTCTCTGAGCCTCGGTTTCCTTGTCTGGGGGAATCAGCACTGCTTCTCTCCTGGGCTGCTATGAGGCATGAGTGAGAGCCTGCAGGCAGCGTGGTCAGCATAGAGCTGAGCACACAGCGAGCCCTAGGTGCCAGGAGCAGCTGTTACTAGGAGGCACAACACAGGGTGGGGCGCTGGGGCGGGGCCTCCCCACCTCCTCACACCCAGGCTGGCATCAGGCACTGGGTCCGGGAGGCTTGACTTTACTCACTTCCCCAGTCTGCACACCTCCTCAGCTCCAAGGCCCAAGAGGGCTTTCTCAGGGATGCCAGGAAATGGTAGCCATGGTTTCCACCCTGGGGGAGCTTACAATCTAATAAAGGCAACCTGGAACCTCGAAATAGAAACTTCCCAAAATAGTGCGTCTGTGAGCTGGTCTTCCCGGCGGTCTGGTAGGAGGCGCATGGTAGGGAGGGAAAGAGCCCAGGCCTGGGTCCTCTGCATGCCCACCACCTCCACCTCTCCCAGCCTCCCTGCAACCTCAGGGCGTTGGACCCCAGCTGGTGGGGGAGCGGGCAGGTGCTGCTCAATCCGCACTCTGTGCTTTAGCAAAATGAACTGCAGTGGCCCAGGATGGGTGAAAGTTGGGCCGACAGTTTCCTGATTCAAAGGGACACATGTAGAGAGTTCTGAAAGTTCAGACTGAAGCATGCTGGGGACTTTCCCGGTGGTACAGTAGTTAGGAATCTGCCTGCCAATGTCAGGGACACAGGTTCGATCCCTGGCCTGGGAAGATTCCACTAAGACTCTGTGTCGCAGCGACTGAAGCTCACACGCCACAACTGTGCGGCAACTACTGAAGGCCACGCACCTGGAGGCCATGCTCCGCAGCAGGAGAAGCCACTGCAACAAGAAGCCCACGCACCACAGTGGAGACTAGCCCTCACTCGTTGCAGCTAGAGAAAGCCTTCACAAAGCAACGAGATCCAGAGCAGGTGAGAAAAACGGTTAGATTGAAGAGTGCCATCACATGGCCCACGGGGCGATGCCAAAGCCTTTCTGAGTAGTTGAGCCCACCTTTCTGCCCTGGAATTCGTCACTGGGGTTGAACTTTAACCCAGCAGTGAAGCCACAGCCTGGCTGATGTTTCTCCCCCAGCTGTCATTCAGTAACGTTGCAGCACCGACTCATTTTTTGTTAATTTTGTTGACCTTTCACTCTAGGTGTTGGATGCCCCAGATGCCCCAGTGAGTTTTGCCCCCACTCCAGACCAGAGGGGCATCCGAGCAGTCATTCCTAGAAATGGGGGAAGGAGGAGGGGTTTCTTCAAAGTCCCTCAGGCATCTTAGGACACGCTGGACCGACTGGCCCACCCCCGTGGGGCCAAGAGGCGAGTGGAGGCAGGAGGTCTGGTGATCCTGTGCCCGCCCGTGGTTCTGGGCAGCAGGCCGGGTGCTCTCCAGCTCCCTGATTCCCAGGAGCCTCGCCCAGGGGGCCACAGCCCTGTCCATGGTGTTCGCTGAGCTCTTGGAGCAGGCGGGGGGCGCGGGCCTCTTCCAGGCCCTCCAGATCCTCACCTTCTTCCTCTTCTCCGTCTGGGTGCCCTTCCAGTTAGTCATGGAGAGCTTCTCAGCCGCCATCCCAGGCCACTGCTGCTGGGTTCACCTGCCGGACAGTGGCTCCGAGGCTCCCACCAACCTCAGCCCCGAGGCCCTCCTGCCCGTCTCCACTCCGCCGGGCCCAACCGTGGGCCCCCAAGTGCCTCCACTTCCGCCGCCCACAGTGGCAGCTCCTGGACCCCAAGGCCACGGCCGCCAGCTGGAGCGAGCCGTGCGCGGACGGCTGGGTCCACAACCGCAGCGCCTCCACCTCCACCATCGTGACTGAGGTGAGGGTCCCCCCGCCACCAACCACACCATTTCTTCCCCTTTCCCAGCCTCCCAATGACTGAGAGGATTAGAACGCCTCTATCAGCGCCGTTAAGTGATATGCACTCCCTCGACACTTAATTACTGATGGCTCGGAATGGCCAGGATTCCCATCTGGGGCTAGGGTTACAGGAGACTTGGGGAGCTTACATTCTGCAGGAGAATTCAGAATCAGTCAGCCTTTGAGCCAGGAATAACAGTAGAGTGAGTCCACACCTTGTGCCCTTAAAGTGGCAGCCACTGGTCTGATGCTTTCCCCTGTCGTCACTATTTCACAGCAATCTCTTGATGTGGGTCTTATGATTGACCCCATTTAATAAGTGACAAAACAGAAGCCCACAGAGGTTAAGTAACTTGCCCCAGGACACACAGCTAAAGTGCAGTCTAATTCAGCCCAGGGAGCCTGGTGCCAACTTCTCCCTCACTTTCTGTCCTGCCTTGAGGCTCAAGGCCCCTGCGTCATCAGTGAGCACAAGGGAGAAAGCAGCTCCTGCAAGTGGGGAAGGGAGAACGGGCAGGGAAGAGGTGACATTTCAGATGACACTTGGATTATAAGCAAAGGAATCAGCCACATGAAGATTGGGGCAGAGCTGGGTCAGGACAGAGGAGGGAGCATGTCTGGGTGTTGAGAGAGCAGAATGTGGCACAGAGGGTAAGGGGTCAGGAGATGGATGGGGCGCATGTGGAAGGAGCCTGGCTTTTCCTTAAGTGCAAAGAAAAGTCACAAGAGGCTTTGGAACAAGGAAGCGCTGTGATCTGATTTGCATTTTCAAGAGGCGACTTTGCAGGGCGGAGAATGCACTGCAATATGTGTGTGTGCTTGGGGGTGGGGGGGGGGAGCATGCTTCCTGCAGTGATTCAGACAGCAGAGGTGGAAACAGAGGCGGAACCGTAGGCAAGGCAGGCAGGCCTTGTCGAAGGGAAGGGCTGACTTTGGGGCCAGGGGGCGGGCAATGTTCAGGCAATGGCTGCCTGGCCCCCAGCAGATGGTAGGAAAAATTCACAGTGACGCGTGCTCAGCCTCTGTGCTCATCTTCACCGTCCTGTAAGAGAGGCAGCCATACAGCCCCGTTCCCGGAGGAGATGGGCTCAGCCAGGTGCAGGAACACACCTGGGGTCACCAGCCGGTCAGTCAGCAGCTGACTTGGAATTTGAGCCTTGTGGTTTAACCACCGCTCACCACTGTCCACTAGGAGTGGCCTGTCCCACTGTTAGACCCAGAACCGTGTCCCACGTGTCCTGCCCTGCTGATCATAAACCAGAGGGTGGGGGGCATTGAGACCCACTGCCCACACACCCCTTCCACCATGGTTGCCTGGATCTAGGATTCTGGGGACCCCACTGGGGGAGGCCAGATCCCCTCTGGGGGTTCTGGACCTTCCTCTGCCACCCCACTATTCTACACCCCCTGAGCCAGGCTGACACACCCTCGTCCTCTTCTAGTGGGACTTGGTGTGTGACCACCAGGGCCTGAAGCCCCTAGGCCAGTCCATCTACATGGCTGGGGCCATGGTAGGATGCATTGTTTGCGGCTTCCTCTCCCACCGGTAAGTATCTCCTCTCCTCCCCTCCAGCTCCTTCAAAACAGAATGAGCATTGTGAGGACAGAGGTAAGGAAATGTGCAGTGGACATTTGTGCTCCTTAGGAGAGAGTCTCCCCCATCTGGGGTCTGAGTCCCAAGTTCCCAGGGGGCTGAGAACCCACCGTCTGAACTTGATGCTGGGCTGAGCTGAGAAATCACCCTGAACACTCACTCTCCTCTTCAGCTATTCCACCAAACTTTACTGAGCACCTACTGTGTGCCAAACACTGCACAGTCCCTGCCCTCGGGGAGCTGAGGGCTTTCTGGAGACAGACCCCTTTTACTTTTAACCAGGGCTTCCCTGGTCGCTCAGCGGGAAAGAATCCGCCTGCCAAGGCAGGAGACACAGGTTCGATCCCTGGGTTGGGAAGATCCCTTGGAGGAGAAAATGGCAACCCACTCCAGTATTCTTGCCTGCAAGATCCCATGGAGAGAAGAGCCTGGGGGGCTGCAGACCATGGGGTCGCAAAAGAGTTGGACACGACTGAGCGACTCAACAACAGCCGCATGAAGTGTAATGAAAGAAGACCACCCCTTCCGCCCCTCCCTGAGTGCCCCCTCCCCTCTCCTCCACACCTCTCCTGAGGTGGAGCGCCCAGGACCCTCCCTGGAACCCTCCTTCGTCTGTGTTCAGGTCGTGCCCTGGGCGCCGCTGTCCAGTGCTGAAAACACCCACGTTACACCCCCTCAGCTTGGAAACCCCAAAGCCAACCCAGAGTCTCCACTCAGATGCACCTCACAGTTACCGCGGCCCCCGCTGAACCCCGGCACCCCCACCCCCACCCAGCCCAAGCCCTGCCCACCAGACTCCATCCTGGAGGACAGCCTCCGCTGAGAGTCAGCCCCGTGCTCCCTCCCTCAGCCTCCACACTCATCGGGCTCCTTCTCCAAAGCACAGCCCCCCAGCCCAGGGCCCTGTCTTGCATGCCGTCAACTTGCCCAGACCGCCACCTTCTCTGGCCTGGGCCTCCCACAGCCTCCTCTGGGGTCTCCTGCCTCCACTGGGCCTTCTGTTCCGCCGCAGCGCTCAGAGTGACTCAGCAAAGGCTTGTGTGTGCATCTTGTCACTGCCCAGCCTGAGGTCCCCTGGGCCCCCACGCCGAGGACAGTCCCCACTCACCCCGCCACCCCTGCTCAGCCCTTGGCTTTCCCCCGGTGGTCTTGCCAGCCCCTCCAGAAGCAGCCCTGCTCCCGCCCAGCCCACCGGACCCACCGCAGTGGGCAGCCTCACCTCACCTAGACGGTTCTGCCCATGGCCCCTCTGTGCCCAGCGTGCAGGCCACAATCAGCTCCAGGCTGCTCCTTGCAGAGGCCTTCCCGGCTTCAGGCCCACAGGTCCCATGGCCTTGGCAGCTCTCCACTCATAGCTCCCGGCTCTCTCTGCCGGTGCCCGGCTCTCGTTAGCTTGTTGACTGTGTGTGTCCCCGTGAGACCATAGCTCCAAGGAGGCAGGGGCCTTGGGGTCACATCCTTGGTGTCCAGCACACAGCATACTGCCCATAATATGCTGAAGGCATGGATGGCACTCCCGCTATGCCCAGCAGCCCAGGCCCTGGGGCGTCCTGAGCCCCAGCTTCTTAAAAGATGGGTGGGTTATTTCTCTGTGCCTTTTCCTCCTGTCAGCGGGCACCCTGCCACCTACCCATGGGGCTGCGATGATGAAGTGAGTTAATCACATGCAGAGCCCGGGCTGGTCTGGCACAGTGGCGGCTCTTCGTGGGCCTTATATTACATTATCCTGAGCGTGGCGGGGAGCCCGAGCACCGGAGAAGGAGGTGCTCCAGTCTGCACTCTCAGAGGACCGGCCACCCGGAAGCCACTGCTCCTTCCCCAGGGTCCGCCCACGTCGGGAGCCACATCACAATCCATCTGTGGCCGCCTGGTGAGCCTGGGGTTAGCTCCAGGCTTCAGCCTCCTGGTCTCACCCTGGGATCTGGGGCGCGTGTTCCTGCTTCTGGGCACTGCCCAGACAGGCGAGGCTGAAATTGGTCCGCATCTCTCCAGTCTGACTGACACGCGCGTGCGTGCAAGCTCAGTCACTTGGTCGTGTCCAACTCTTTGTGACCCCAAGGACCGTAGCCCACCAGGCTCCTCTGTCCATGGGATTCTCCAGGCAAGAATCCTGGAGTGGGTTGCCCTTTCCTCCTCCAAGGGATCTTCCCAACCCAGGGATCGAAACTGTGTCTCCTGCCTTCAGGTGGCTTCTTTACCGCTGAGCCATCAGGGAAGGCCTGTGACTGACCCAGACTTCAGCTCAGTGCCCGCAGTGGTTCGGGCTGAACTGACCTCGGGGCGGCAGCGGCACCATGAGCGTGTGGGCTCCGGTGTGTCGCCAGGCTCGCCCAAGGCCACAGGCCCCGAGCCTCCTGCGAGGCTGCCCCCTTGTTCAGCATCTCATCATGAATGCCTGCCTTTTACAGACCAAGAAACCGTGGTCCACAGACACTGAGTCAGGTGCCCAAGGTCACCTGGGAAGGGCAGAGCTGGGCTCAGACCCAGGCATCCGCTGCCAAAGTCTATTCTGGGCCACGGGGCTACACCACCCCCCGAGAGCAAGACGTCTGCCATTTTTATAACAGACGCACTCTGAACGTGGCCCCTGGAGGTCCGAGGAGGTGCTGCCTGCCTGCACCTGGGGGAGGCTCCAGCAGGAGCCCCTGCAGCCTTCCGGCGGGAAGCCCTTGCCTTTGTGCCCAAGTCCCCAGGCCCCTTTCCAGGTGCCCACCATGCTAGCCTCCCCGAAACAGGTTTGGGCGGAAGCCAGTTCTGAGCTGGTGCTGCCTGCTGGTGGCCGCGGCCAGCATCAGCACCGTCGTTGCCCCCAGTTTCCCCGACTACTGTGGCCTCTGGTTTCTGAGTGCTCTGGGTTGTCTGGCATCCTCCTGACCTCCGCGATGCTCAGTGAGTCCCTTGATCGCCAGCCGCAGCCACGGCATGGGGATGGGGTGCAGTGGGGAAGAGGGGGCCTGAGGGCCCAGCGCCCAGGGCCCTCACCTGCATGTCCACACTGCCTTCCAATGGTGGAGTGGACCACAACCAGTGCGAGGGCCGTCACCATGGCGATCCTGCGGTCCACCTACAACATCGGCCAAATGGCCATGGGCGGCCTGGCCTTCGCCCTGCGGGAGTGGCGAACCCTCCAGCTGGCAGGGTCAGTGCCTTTCTTTGTCATCTTCCTGATATCCTGGTCAGTATGGTGTGGGGCCTTTTCCCTTGGGGAGAAACGGGAGAGGGATCCAAGAAGGTGCCCCTCACCCCTACCTCTCTGGCTGGCCACGGCTCCCAAGATGCTGAGACCCTGGAAGAGAGTGATGTGGGCAGACCCCACTGGGGAGAGACGTCATGGGGGCTCAGCGTTCCGGGGTGGGCATTTCAGCCAGGGGTCAGAGGTTCCCTCCAGCCCACCCCACTGGCCCAAGGCTGAGGGCTGCATCCTTTGCTTACATTGGCACCAGCTCCCCCACACCCACCAGCCTCACTGCTTCATAGCACTTGCCCAGCTTGCGGGCATCCAAGTCAGGCATCGGATATGGAAAGATATTATCATTACTATTTCTGATGCTTTGAAAATCCCTGAGGTCTGAAAATACCTGCTCGGGTGGGGACTAGAAGAAGAGATACAGGGAAATAATCACAAATTCCTGTGCTCATAAGTTCTCTTGTGCCCATGGGCCAGAGCCGAACTGGTCTGCTGTGGGCAGGTAGAGAAGGATAAGGACGCATTCATTCATTCTCAAATGTTTATTGTGTTCCTGCTCTGTGCTAGACTTGGCTTTAGGCACTGGGGATCCATCGGAAAATAAAATAGACCAGAAGTCACTGACAATGTGGAGATTTATTGTGTCAACAGGACCAAGAAGCAAGGAGGAAGACCATTCCATAGTTACACTGATAAGCCACCCTGGTCACACTGACTGGGTGCATCCCTGCTGTTCTTTGATGCACACCAGATGTGCATCAACACTGCTTTTTTAAATGTGTCATTTAAACCACTTTATTTGTTTTTATTTTGGGGAGGAGGATGTTAGTTCTCGGACCGAGGATTGAACCCACACCCCCTGCAGTGGAAAAGCAGAGTCTTAACCACTGGACCACAATGGAGATCCATCAACACTTCTTCTAATGAGGAAGGAAGATGTTATTACTGCTACTTTCAGATGAGGGTCTGAGGCCCACAGAGACTCAGTGGCTTGCACAAAGCCACACTATTGTTTTGTGCCAGAGGCAGGGTTTGTATCCCAGGTAGGCTGGTTCTTCTAACCATGACATACTGCCTCCAGAAATTCTTCTTAGCTTCCCTGTGAACCCAGCTGAGTGCCTGTGGGCCGGGAGAACTCTAGACCCTTTCACCAGGGAGGTGCTTCTCCCTGTCCATCTGTCCCCAAGACTGGAAAAAAGCTGACTACTTTTATAAAACCACTCGGTTCTGGCTGGAGATGTTTTAAATGTGTTTTTTGTTTCTTTTTTTTAAATTCAGCATGATGCAAGCTTTCTGTCATGGAAATGGCCCTAGAATCACCCCATGTCCAGGCAACCTGGGCACTGACTGAATATGGGGCTTGGGCGGGCAGGCTCCTGGCAGCAGGGAAGCCAGATGGGGTGGCAAGGAGTGGGGGCTGGTGGAGAGGGCGGCCAGGTGTTGGGACTCATCCTTATTCTGCGACCATCAGGGACTTCCCAGCCCAGCATTAACAGGGTAGAAGGAGAAGCAGCTGCCTTCTCCCAACTCCTGTTTTAGCCAGAGGGTCTGGCTGGCCACCACCCCCTCCCCACCTGACCTGGGCACCTGGCCACCAGTCTGAGCAAAGAAAGCAAAGACCCAGTTAAGCACCTGCTTCTTTAACAGATGCTGCCAGAATCTGCCTGATGGCTGATTATCATAGGCAAACCAGATCAAATGCTTCAGGAACTCAAAAAGGTGGCCAAGATAAATGGTCACAAGGAAGCCCAAAAGACACTGACCATAGAGGTGAGATGCTGTTGTTTGTGACCCAGAGTGTGAGATATGACCCAGGAAAGGACATCTACTGATGTTTTTATCTAAATTATCACTAACATCACCCCTATCCACTCCAGCACCACTCCCATCAACAGACTCATAACATCAAAACATCATCAACATCACTATCATCACTTTTGTGATCTCTGTCATCACTGGCATCATCATGACCATTATCATGGTAATCATCACCATCAAACCTACCATCACTGTCCGCACCACTATCACCACCATCATCACTGTCCCCACCACCATCACCATCAATATCCTCACCACCATCACTGTCCCCACCACCATCACCATCACTACCACCACCACCACCACCATAATTACCACCTCCATCACCACCACCATCACCATCACCACCACCACCACCACCACCATCACCACCACCACCACCATCACCATCACTGTGACCACCACCACCACCATCACCGCCACCATCACCACCACCACCATCACCATCAATATCCTCACCACCATCACTGTCCCCACCACCATCACCATCACTACCACCACCACCATCACCATAATTACCACCTCCATCACCACCACCATCACCATCACCACCACCACCGCCACCACCATCATTGCCACCACCACCACCACCGCCACCACCATCACCATCAATATCCTCACCACCATCACTGTCCCCACCACCATCACCATCACTACCACCACCACCATCACCATAATTACCACCTCCATCACCACCACCATCACCATCACCACCACCACCGCCACCACCATCACTGCCACCACCACCACCACCGCCACCACCATCACCATCAATATCCTCACCACCATCACTGTCCCCATCACCATCACCATCACCACCACCACCGCCACCACCATCATTGCCAGCACCACCACCACCGCCACCACCATCACCATCAATATCCTCACCACCATCACTGTCCCCATCACCATCACCACCACCACCATCACCATAATTACCACCTCCATCACCACCACCATCACCATCACCACCACCACCACCACCACCATCACTGCCACCACCACCACCACCGCCACCACCATCACCATCAATATCCTCACCACCATCACTGTCCCCATCACCACCACCACCACCACCACCACCATCACCACCACCACCATCACCATCAATATCCTCACCACCATCACTGTCCCCATCACCATCACCACCACCACCATCACCACCACCACCACCACCACCATCACCACCACCACCGCCACCACCATCACCGCCACCATCACCACCACTGCCACCACCATCACCATCACCACCACCACCACCACCATCACCGCCACCATCACCACCACTGCCACCACCATCACCATCACCACCACCACCACCATCACCGCCACCATCACCACCACTGCCACCACCATCACCATCACTGCCACCACCACCACCACCGCCACCACCATCATTGCCACCACCACCACCACCGCCACCACCATCACCATCACCACCACCACCACCATCACCATCACTGTGACCACCACCACCACCATCACCGCCACCACCATCACCATCAATATCCTCACCACCATCACTGTCCCCATCACCATCACCACCAACATTACTACCACCACCTCCATCACATCACAGTTATCACCACCATTACCACCTCTGCTACACCCACAATCACCACCACTACACAAATACCACTGTCATCACCACCACCACCAATAATAATAACACCACTAATGTCAACACCATTACACTCTCCACACACCCACGATCACTATCACCACCACCACCATCACCTCCACCAGCAATACCATCACAATCAACTTCATCTTTATTATCATCCACACCACCAACACCATCACTGACATCACCATCAATATCCACACCACCAGACAGTCACCATCACCTTCATCACTAGCCCCAACTCCACCACAGCCACCATCAACAACACAGCCACAGTTAGCAACAATACAACCATCACCAACAACAACCACACATCCACATCACCACCTCTATTATTCACCGCCTCAACCCACATATATTGCCCACTTACCTCATACGTTGCTCTTCAACATATTTGGAGAAATGGGATGTGCTTGTCTGAAGGTAGTTATTTCAAGGAAGTACGTGTGGGAGGATGTGCGGACAGAGACTAGAGGACTCAGTTCCCTGAGGGCAGAAGGATCAGAAAAGGCTTCCAGGAGGAGGTGACTAGAGCTGGCCAGGACGGAGCTGAGCAGGGGGCAGGCAGGGCCCAGGGTGCCGGTGGAGACTGGATGGGCACTTGGGATGCAGTAAGGAGCCAATGTGACTGGGCAGCTGTGCCCTGATGCCAGCCAAGAGGAATGAAGAGGGATGGTAGGGCCTCCTGGGGTAACTGCCAAGGGCTCCCTGCAGCCTGCAGCTTAGCAGCCAGAGACGGGACTCAAGACTGTGCCTTGGCCTGAGAGGGGAACTTGGTCTGCAGGAGAGAGCTCAGGCCAGGCCAGAGAGAAGCCTTTCTGCCCTCAGCCCCACCCCACCCCCAGGGCTCTCCGTCTCCAGGGGCCAAGGCCAGGCTCTCCCCATCCCTCTGCCCACCTTGACACATTTCTGGCATGGGAGTGGGGCCATGGCCCCAGCATTCACTGCCCCGTTGCCCCCGGAGGTACTAATGCCCAGCATGCAGGAGGAGGTGGCCTCTGCGAAGTCCCGCCAGTCAGTGCTGGACCTGTTCTGCCTGCCCGGGCTCCGCTGGAGAAGCTGCAACCTGTTGGTGGTGAAGTGTGCTGTCCTGTGTACCCCTCCCAGAGACAGGGCTGGGTGGGGGGTGGTATTCAGGGGGAAAACGGCTTCTACAGCCTCATGGGGTACATTCCTGGCTGGGACAGGCAGCTCCCCCGGGGGGCAGGAGCCTGACAGGTGGGGGAGACAGAGTACGTACAGATGTGGTCAGGAGGCCGGCTTGTGCAGAAAGTCAGCCAGAGAGCAGGGCTGGGATATGGTCCTGGGCAGGGGGCCGGGTCAGATTGAAGCGCACGGCAGGGGCAGAGCCTTGATGTCCCCAGAGCCAAGGGACCGCAGGAGCTGGAAAGTCAGCACCGGACTTACCCTGACAGCTGGATTCCTGGCGTGTGGAGGCGACCGCGTTCCCGCCACACATGGCCCCCTCTGAGCCATCCCATGAGACTAGTTCACTTATATCCCACTTTACAGATGGGAAAGAGGGGCCAGGAGAGGAAAGACACGTGCCCGAGATGACAGAGTGGGCATCTGAACCCCGGCTGAGCTCTCTGCTAGACCCTCCCGCCCCACAGTGAGCGTGGACTCCCCACCCAGGGAGGCCCCGTCCCCCAGGGCGGCCTTTGTTGTTAGTGTTGTTCAGTTGCTCAGCCGAGTCTGACTCTTTGTGACCCCCACGGACTGCAGCACGCCAGGCCTCCCTGTCCTTCACCATCTCTCAGAGTTTGCTCAAACCCACGTCCATTAAGTCAATGATGCCATCCAACCAGCTCATCCTTTGTCTCCCCGCTTCTCTTCCTGCCCTCAATCTTTCCCAGCATCAGGGTCTTTTCCACTTGGAACCAGGCAAAGACTCCTTAAGACAGAGTCAGTTTAAGCGACTTCCTGAAGAGTGGATCAAAAAGTGAGGGTCAGGTTTGATTGGGACTCGATCTGGAAATAAAACTCAAAATTAGGAAAACATTGATTTTATGCTATATTTTAGCACATATAGGTTATAATGGCAAATGTGTGCTGCATCTTAGAGCAAAGAATGCATCAAATGCCTCTCTCTCTATTTTTTGCTTTTCTTTTTCTGATAATAAATTAGAAGGAGTGCCCGGGGACCAGTGAGTGTCCAGGGCTGTTCTTTCAAAAACCATCAAGGCTTCCTCAGTTCTCCCAAGGGGCTGCCCTGCTCCCTTTGTTATTCAAATCACAGACTGTGAGGCAGCCACCCTCCTGGGTTTTCTTGGCTTTGATTGTTAACCCAGTTATTACTGGGTAAGACTCCAGGTGCTCGTGCCCGCAAACCAGCCCAGCTTTTCTCCCGGTCACGTTCACAAACTTCAGGAAGCACCTTGTTTCTGCAGGAATTGCAGCTTTTTTCTGTAGCTGTTAGCCTGGTGGCACCTGAATGAAGCTTCCTGGGGGCAGCAATCAGGCGCTGCTGAAGGGGAGGCCTGGGGACTGGCCAGGTGAACCGGGGGGGTGGGGTGGATTGGAAAAGTGGTCAAGAAGCATTTACCTGCACGGCCACTTGCAGAGCCAGATTCAATCTCCAAGGGGCAGAAATTCAGCTACTGGGGTAGCTCAGCAATAAAGAATCGGCCTGCCAATGCAGGAGATGTGGGTTCCATCCCTGGGCCGGAAAGGTCCCTTGGAGAAGGCAGCCCATTGCAGGATTCTTGCCTGGAGAATCCCATGGACAGAGGAGACTGGCAGAGAGTTGAACACAACTTAGCAAGTAAACAATAATGAAGTTCAGCTACTCAGGATAGGGGACATCCTCCGGGCGGCAGACTCTGAGATGGAGGTCTGGGAGCATGAAGTTCATGGAGAGAGCTCCAGGGGTCACCTCCTGTGGAGGGGAGAGGGGGCAGGGAGGGCAGGAAGCTGCAGGGACCGGGGACAGGTGCTGTCACAGCCGGGCCCCAGCCTGGGGACCTGGGAGCTGTGGCGTCCCTTCCAAGTCGTCCCTCTGGCTGGTGTAGACCAGCCATGGGATGCTCTGCCCAGCTGGGGTGTAGCGCTCCCAAGGGCTGTGAAAATAAGACTTTCTATCCTGAAGGGGACAGCCCAGCGTCTCCCGCTGAGACCCCTTTCTGTTATTAACCCCATGTTTCGAGACAAAGAAACTGGCAGCCGGTAAGGGGCAGAGACTTGCCCAGGTTCCCGGCCACGACTGGAAACAGGAAACAGAGCCGGAGGGCGCTGTGTGTGTGTCAGTTCTCAGCCGTGTCCGACTCTTTGCAACCCCATGGACTGTAGCCCACAGGCTCCTCTGTCGATGGGGATTCTCCAGGCCAGGATACCGGAGTGGGTTGCCATTGCCTTCTCTAGGGGTTCTTCCCGACCCAGGGATCAAACCCAGGCCTCCCGCATCACAGGCAGATTCTTTACCATCTGAGCCACCAGGGAAATCCACTAGAGCCTGACAGAGGGGCAGGTCAGCTTGACCCACTGCCCCGTCTGCCCAGAGAGGGTCGCGTCTTCCTGCTGGTTGGTTGAGAGGCGACGCCCAGCCCACCATGGCTGACACCAAGGCCCACACTTGGAATGGATGGGCGACTGTCCTCCCCACCCTTTCCTGGGACAGCCTGACCATGGGGAGATGATCCTGCAGGCTGCCTGGAGCTGGGCTGACGGAACCTTCTGGCACACACCCCATGTGGGCAGATGTTCCCAGGGTGAGCCCTCCTCCACAGGGCAGGGTCCTGACTCTGGAGGCCCCCTAGGAGTGCCCGATCCTCCCCGGGGCAGGAACCTAACTCTGGACTCCCCCCGCAGCTTCTTCCTCACCCGTCTCATACTATGGGATAGTCCTCGACCTGCAGAACCTGGGGAGAGACATCTTCCTACTCCAGGTTCTTCTTCGGAGCTGTGGACCTCCTGGCCCAGGCCATCACCACCTTCCTGCTCAGGTTCTTCAGCCGCCGCACGACCTTGGCCAGCTCCCTGGCCGGGGCCGGCCTCACCATTTGGCCAACATGCTGGTCCGGCAAGGTGCAGGCAGGGCAGCTGCGGGGGGCCGCTGAGGGGTCGAGGGGCTGCCGGCCTCCTCCCCACCCGCCCTGGCTCCGTCCAAGACCCTGACTGCCACTGCTCCACCCGCCCCCCACCCATTTCCCTGAGTTTCAGAAGGTGAAGCCCGGTGCCCGAGAACCCCCAGCGGCGAGGGTCGGAGCCAGGCCTGGACTGGACTTGAAGCCGGAGGCCGAGTCTGTGGAGGGGGGACGGGTCTGGGAGGCTGGGCGGGGCCCCAGGGGAGGAGGAGAAGCGCTGAGTGGTGTGTCCTTGAGTTAGAGAAGCCAGATGCTTCACAGAGTGCTGCGGAGGCGGGGAGGGTGCCCGGCTCTCTCCTTTCCCATAGCTGCTCTGAAGCCCTTCTTTGGGTCTCAATTTACTGTTCAAGGTGGGCGACGGGGAGGGGCAGGGACAGGTGTGTCCCAGTGGCCGCCGAGCCGGTGTGGGGGGGGGTTAGTGTGAGGATGGAGGCCCAGTTGTGAGCTCAAACTCTGAGGGAGACCCGCACCCCGAGGAAAGCTTCTGAGACGTGCTCTTGACAGCTTCCACATGACTCTTCCTACAAGGACGACTGACTTACGGGAAGGGGAGCTGGGCCCAGG